AGATTTATTTTATGAATTTTAGCTATTATTTTATGTTTTAGGTTAGTTTATTTGAGTGTTATGGCCCAAGGGGCATTTTTGTAATTTTATATTTTCTCATGTTATGGCCTATAAATAAGGGCCTTAAGCTATTGTAATGGAGGGTTAATTTGATATGAAAATTTGTTTTTCACACTTGTGTTCTTCTTGTGAGAGAGCGTTAGTGAGATTCCTATGAGAGGAATCGAAGTCTTCACCAGCCGCAGGATGGGTCCGGGCTCGTGATTTGAGATTTCTTGGAGAGGGAAATCGTATCACCCACCAACCTTGGAGATGGCCGGGTTCGTGGTTTTATTCTTTTTCGTTATCTTTTTCATTTTTCTCCTTGTCGACATCCCCATCCTCCACCCAAGCCACCGGCCACATCTTCACAATCCCGCCGGCCACCTTTTCACAACCCGTCGACCACCTCTTCACAACCCGCCGGCTACCTCCCTTCATCATCCCATTGAAGTTTCCTAATTTAGGCTTGAATGAATTTGGAAATAGTTTGAAATTCAAACTCAATTGATTTGAAATTCAAATAAACCTTCCTAAATTCCCTAACCCTATTTTAGGAAACTTTTTGAATTCATGCCTCCACAAATCCCTCATTTAAAATTCAAAACATTTTGAATTTTGAAATCATTTTGAATTTTGAAATCATTCCTAAAATTAGCGAATCTATTTTAGGAAAGTATTTGACTTAGATCTATTTTGAATTTTAAATTCACTTGGATTTGATTAATTACTTTCCTAAAATCAAATATCAATTAGGCAAGCATGACACCTCACCCCCAAATTCCCTCTTGCCCATTAATGCAGCCGGCCCCTTCATTGGCTTGGATTTAGATTTATTTCCTTAAGTCAAGCCTCTCTTTTGGAAATATTTCAAAACCCCCTAAATTTCATCATAATCGAAATTGTTCAAAATCTGAAATTAGCTTTGGAAATAAATCCTTCCCCATATTCAGGTCACCCTCACATTATTCTGATTTGAAATTCCCGTCACTCTTTCTTTCCCTTGCTGGCCAACTTCTCCAATGCCTGTACTTTAATTTTCCCCCACAAATCACTCTCCAAATTCCACCTAACGTGGAATATTCTGCCTTCTAAGGCTGCAGCCAGGGAATTCCCGCTCAAGCATTAATTACTTCCCAAAGCTTTGAATTCTCCTTCCAATTTCCCTTGCTCCTAAGCCTAGAATCCTGAGATTTCTCTCAGATTCTGGTTCCAAAATCTGAAGTTATTTTCAGAATTTTGAAAAGGGAATTTAGGAGAAATTCTTTCCTGTTACTCGTTCCCACCCTTTCCCGTTAAACCCCTTTTCCCAATCCGGCTACCTCCTCTCCAGGCCACCTTCACGGTTTTCCCTCTACATCCAAATTCTGCTAGCTGACCCCACTCTCCAGCCAGGAAATACCTGCTGTCCTGTACCCTTGGAAGCCTAAAAACTGCTGTTCAAAGGATTCCAGCTGCCTACAATAGCTACCCAAGGTTTATACATGTGGTAAAGGTTGCTGTCCAGAATTTCTCAAGTGTCAAAGTTGCTGTCCAGCATTCGTAGCGATCTCCTATTGCTGTCTCCCTGCCCTCCTATCCCGTTCTACATCAGATGGCTAGTGGCATATCTGAGTGATCGTTCATGTGAGAGATGGCTGGAGAAAGTGGCACTGGCGTTGACACAATGGGAGCTCAGTATAAGAGGTCAACAATAGTTCTTGCAATAGCTAATGAGATCTTTGACGAGGAAATCCCAGAGGAACTGATGGCCAGTGTGGTGAAATATTGATTTGCATTGGCTTTTGGATCAATTAGGAGATAGATGGCTAAGTTGAAAGCCGATGATTCACAAGATGTGGAATTGGTTCCATGGCTCTAATGCATTTGAATGATGGCATGTGCACATTGGGACAATATATGTAAAAGCAAAAAAATAGTGAAGAAAGTAGAATTATATTATGGTGATGTTTATCCTTGGAGCTCACTACTACACATTGAGATAAAGAATAATGGTTTGGAAAAGGATTCAAAGAGAAATTAAAGAGAGCAGAAGAGATAGAAGGTGAAACATTAGTGAAATAAAAGGTTTGGTGAAGTATTTGGATGCACAAATCTTATATCATATTGTCATCTTTAGATTGATGAATAATTATTTGGGTGTAGGTAAATCTTATCAAATCACATAACTCATTTTGTTCCTTTGATGACGTGTTTCTTGTTAATCTTTTATAAACCTCGGTCTCACTCATTATTGTTCTTGGGAGTGCACTTTTTCCTAAAAACTAGTATAAGAGCTAGGCTAGTTTTGGAGTTTAAGGGGAAAAAATGAGCAGTGGCATTTGAAACGAGTATATGAAGATCGAAAATTTTGATTGCTGAAATTTGTGACCATTGAAAGATTCAAATAGACTACCTTCCCTAGTGAAAGCTTCATTAGTTTTGGAAAAAAATCAAAGTTTTCTAATATTTGATCAAAAGGAGGAATTTATGGATAAACAAACATTAGGAATTATTTGTTTATCCTAAAGCATGAATGTCACTTTTAATATTCTAAATGTAAGAAGCACTATAGTATGGGGAAGTAACTATAAAACATGAATGAGAAGTTTTTTACTGTCAAAATGTTTGAAGAAGCTTTTTTTATTGATAATATCAATGAGTTCAACTTTATTACAAGCTATTGAGTTTTGAGAACATCAAACGTTGATTATAAAATCTTTGCTTTAGGTTTGCTTTCTTCGTTACTTAAAATTTAGGATAACGTTACAACAATATTCAATATCTCATATGGATTAATCAGAATGAAACTCAATGATGTTAGAAACCTCATCATTAACAAAGATATTTGATGGTACAAGAAAGATAAAATCCATTTATCTTTGTTTAAAATGTGGATTGGAGTAAGCCTCTAAATAAAATCAATCATTGAGGTAAAGATATATCCAAATCTCAGCAATGAAGTTAATTAAAGGGGTTGCAATAGTGCATGTTTCAGATGTGGTCAAATTGGCTCCATGAAAAGAGATTTTTCACAGGGCAAGGGCAGACAAAGTTCAAGTAGATCGACGAATTTGTGAATAGTGCATGTGAAGAATCAAAGATGCTATATTTCATAGCGCGAATAATTCTTTGGAATCTTGGATCTTGGAGTTAGGTTACGTTCATCGTTTCACTTTACTCCACATAAGGATATGTCACTATTTGATGGGAGATCGTGTGGATGTTTATCTTGCTAATGGAAAACTCTTGTCCTATATTGTAATATAAATGTAATGAGGGTGAGAGGATTCATGCACTAGTTATGTTAGCCATTGTTGATGTGAAAGCAAAGACAAACTTGTGATGCATGTAAGGCAATTGGTGGTAAAGTGAGGAAACGTTAAAGTTGACTTTTATGAACAATCCATTGCTGCATGATCACCTTTCTTCTTTGGAAGTCCTCTAACATATGCGTTATCTCACTCTCAAGTAGTCCTTCACTTGGGTTGAGAGAGACACGAGGAAGAAGTGAAAAAAAAAAACTCAAGAAGCATCTTTCATTCAATCACATAACCATTCAAATACAAATAAGTCCATGTTATTTATAGATTTTAAGCAAAGAAGCAAACAAAGGAAAATAGAGAAGAGGGGGCTGGCCATGCATGGGAAATGAGTTTTTTTTTTTTTTCATTTTTTTTATATATTTGTGGGTGGAGGGAGGTTTTGAAGGCTTTTTGTTGTTTTCCAAATATTCAAGATGGTTCTAATAATGGTATTCTTTTCATTGTAAGGAGAGAGGAGACAAGATAGGGGCTGCCATAGTGTTGGGGATGATGAAGTAGCAAGTCAAATTGGTGTTGGTGGTCAAATTTGATCCAAATAGGCTAAATTTGAACTAGGCTAAGCGATGGGAGGGTTTTGCTAGTTCACTACTCAAGTTCATATAATCATCATCATATGACACAATACACAACAAAAAGCATAAAAAGCCCAAAATATAAGGAATGATCCAATAAAACTGAAATTACAAATACACTATGTTAAAAAAAAATCAACAATTTAGGTGGTTCATAAGAAATATGTATATATTATTAGATAGTTAGAGGAATGATCAATGGTAGGCCGGGTGGATGTTTATAGGAGAGATAGTTAGAGATGGTGGAAAATGTTGTCGATGTAGCAAGAGTTTATCGTAGGAGATTGAGCGAGTCAACGATCAATGAGGCAAATAATGGGCAAGTAGAAGGACGAAAAGTCACAACATGAGGCATTGGTTTTGTAGCTCGAAGTTATTATAAGGATGACATTTGCATGCAGTCAACCCCCCTGTAACGCCCCAAGATCTAACTTGGAAAGAATTATTCAATCTATCAATTTAAAACCTTACCAGAGTTATCTATAGTCTTCAATCAATACCAAACAATCTAATAAAATTCTATAATTTAAAACATCAATGTACAATTCTATTTATAACCCAAAAGATCATATACAATACTCAGGTTCTACACAATGATCACATGAAATGAAATCTATCCTGTCCTGAGTACAAAAGAATCACTATAAATGTTTGAAATGGGATTAAGGCTTAGTTTCGGACGGCTTTCTTATTACTTAAATCAGCTTTCTATTACAGATGTTAAAATTTTTGTACTAAAAAACTGGTTTAAGAAGTAGTAAGAAAGCCGCCCCAAATGAAGCCTAAGAGTAAAGAAAATATATAGACGAAGGAGAAAGGAAAAAATATAGTTAGATAAGGGTGAGGAAAATATTTGGCTGTGCAAATATTGAATCATATGATCATCTTAGTCATGGAAATGGGTAGATATCGTTAAATCACATTATTCTTATATTCTTTTTTTGGTTTGTTTTCTTGGTTGTGTTTTTATGTCCCTTACTCTTTTTTGTTATTGTTGCGCTTTTCCACAATATTTTTGTGCCTAATGTTAATTTGAATGTCAAATGAAATGCATCATTAAAATGTATTGGTTTTGCTTGCCTAGGTCAATGGATTCCCCGGATGCTTGTACCTATGCAGAGATCAGAACAAGGATCCCAGACACCATTTCCTGGGACTACCATTTTGAGCCCACAGGGAATGTTCCTGTCACTTTTACTGTCAGGGTATTTATGCTAACCCGACTTCCTATTTGCAACTTCGGCTTCCTTTGGGACGGCTTTCTTCCTGCTTCATAAAGTTGCTTTTTAGTAAAAGAATAAAATTTTTATACTAAAAAGCCGCTTTAAGAAGCAGTAAGAAAGCCGTCCCAAACATAGCCTTCATTTAAAAATTGTCATAGGCGTTTATATTAATGTACGAGTTTTGATTTATGTTCATTTACATCTTCAGTCTGCAGTGCTCAAGGAAGCAATTGAAGATCTGGAGTGGCCTGGTTCAAGTGTCCAGATACGCATACAACCTGATCCTCCTTCTGTGACTTTCAAAGCTGAGGGCCATGGCGACTTGCAGGTATATGTCAGTTTACCATAAATGTACGTTCACTGACCCCCCCAAAATAATAAAATCTCATATATGCGCTTCATTTACCTGCTGTGGTTTCTAGCAGATAGACTTTGAGTACTATTCAAATAACGATCTTTTGGTCGCATTTCAGTGTGACCGAATACTCTCATACAGGTTTGCATTTCATGACCTTTGTGAATATATAAGGGGAAAAAAAAAATTTGTTAGGATTTTTTTATACATGCGTTATCATGTTGGCATTGATTTTACATTTGATGTGTTATCCCTTAGTAAAATTAAACTATGAAACAATACAATGGAATTATTAAATCACTAAACTATTGGAATATACTTGTAATGTTTAATAGTTTAATGGTTATATTTATTTTTTAAATTTAGTTGTACTACAACAACAACAATGACATCAAGCATTTGTCCCACTACACGTGGGGTTGAATCCTTTTTCGCCATTTTGTTGTGTTAAAAGTTCTATTCTCCTTTAAATCTAATAGAAAAAGATCTTTTCTAATATTTTCTAACCAAGTCTTTTTAGGTCTACCGTTACCTTTCTTAACATAAGTCAAATCTAATACGTCAACTTTCCTAACCGGGTCATCGGAAGGCCTCCTAATAATTTAATTTTATTGAAGGATATTACACGAGTTCATACTGTGCAAAATCAAAAACATATTTTGGGTCTGTTTGGGTTAGCTTTCTCATTGATTTATTTTTCAGATAGGAATTATAATTTTGTTTGGTTACTGTTTTCTTACTGCTTTTCAAACATTTTTTTGATGCAAAGTTGTTTTCTGCAACCGTAATAGCAAAGTTGCTTTCTCCACAACCAACTTTACAAAACACTGCAGCTATCTCGAGCAAAACCTTGGTGAAATTTGCCTCATTCTGATATCATGATAATTGTTTTTAATATACAAGCAATTCTTGGAACTTGAACTATCTAAGCTGCTAAAAATCCAACAGATACAAGTACAAATTTCTGAAAGCAACCACTTCAAATTTACCAAGCAGTGTTATGAAGGACAACCGAGGAAGTAAGCTGACCATTGGAATGGGAGGAATGCTTAAAATCCAGCACCTGGTAACGGTCCTTAGAACTGTTGGCCAGCATGCTTTTAATGACTCCATGCAGCAGCCCGGTCGAATTGCTTACATCGAGTTCTTTTTGAAACCAGAGGAGGAAGATGAGACTCCAATAAGTGACGAATAGTTCAAAAACAATTTTGATTTTACCCTTTCGATAATCTTCTCCTTTGCCAATTTGGGAGATTGTTTCTCAAGGTTGTGGTATTTTAATATAAAATATATCAGAGTTAATTTTAAAATCATTGAGTTTATATTAAAATTTATATTTTACTTAAATTATCTCCTGTAATTAGTCAAATTTCTGTAATTTTTTTTGGGGATTTACATACATATCACTTTATTTCATGCTATTTATATATCTAAAACTTTAAATTTTAATATTACATTTCTACCGCTCTTATATAATTTTAATATTAAGTATATCACCTTTATATTTTATTCTTATCATCCATAGCATCCTATAAATATTAATATTTTATTTCGTGCGCACATATTTTGTTTTGTGGATGGTAGACATATAATATTAAATTTTTAGGTGTTAGATATGTAAATAATATGAAATAAAGTGGTATGTATGTAAATCCTTTTTTTTTAATTAAATTATATTAAACAAAAAATAACTATGATAGTTTTAAAGTTTATTTTAATATTTTTTGGTAAATGTGTAAATAAACAAGTGACCTCACAATTTGAAGAAATTATTCTATGCGGTCCACGGATTTTCTAGATGCGAATCAAAATGCATCACATCACTCAGTACATAACAAAAAAATGACGCAAGGCATCCTGATTAGCCTTCGGACAGCTTTCTGTGACTGCAAGTAATAATTTAATCACAATTTGACATTAAAAAGTAGGTTTGCTTTTTTATATGGATATAATGACTTGGAATGTCCTAATTACCGACGCAGCAGCTCCTTATTTTTCTTCGGAGCTTGATAAGCTGCTGGTTAGGAATGAAGAGGACTATTGTTGGATTGTCTGCCATGGAATCAGGAGGGGATGTCAGCATAGAAAAATTCATTTGTGTACTTCGTTCTTTTTTTTTTTTTTAATTTATTTGCGACGAGGAAGCACTGTCTTTAGGCCAGTGAAAACCTTGGTCGACATAACATGCAACCTACACCAATTTACACGGGCCAACACTTAAGATCTTTCTATCTTTCGGCAAATTATTAGGTCCAGTCACCTGACAGAGAGATATATCCGGATTTCTCTTGATCTATAGTAAAAGTGCAGTCAAAGTGCAGCTGCTACAGTAACTGCACTTTATTGTAGATAGATAGAAATCCGGATGTATTTTTGTATCAGATGACCGGACCTAATAATTTGCCCTATCTTTCAGGACAATAGTTTCAAAAGCTCACAGCATTAGAATAATTGGCCGTCTTCGCAAACAATTACCATTAACTTTGATTTTATGCCAAGCTTTTTAAAGCTTGTAGCTTTACTTAAAAATGTCGCAGAGCTTGGTGTTATTATTGTAAAAAAAGATGACATTAAGTTGTATAATAATTCGTTTTTCTTTTTATTCTTTTTTTTTATTTTTTGAAGTTGTATAATAATTCGTGCTAGACTTTAGCTGTATTATTAGGTTTCAAAAGAAATTTTATAAATATTGTTGGGTTTAACATAAAAAAAAACAGTTAAAGGTTGGGTTACTAAGTAAAATTGCAATATTGCGGTGCTAAGTGGTTTTAAAAATTGTTGGTTATGAACTTATTCCAATAAAAATGAGGAATAATATTTTTATCCGAAAATTTTTCATGAGTATATACTCTAGTGATTTGAATTAAGGTTTTATTTGTGAAAAAGTTTTTAATGTTTTTTTTTTTTTAAATTTATACTTAGTTAATAAAATTTTTATACTTAAAAGTTACTTTAAAAAGCAGTAAAAAAATTGTCTCAAATGAAGCCAAAATTAGGAGCGAAACGTCTATTGGTTGAAAGCTTTTGTGGACAATTAAGAAGTTTTGGGTTAAAGTCTTGCGTATGTGATATGTGTATGAATTTATTTTAATTGATCTAAATATTCAAAAAAACAAAAATGAGCTAATCAAATGTAAGTTGGTCGACTTTTTAACTTCAGACTCATCTATAAATTATTATAGAGAAATATTATGTTGCATAATTTATATTTAAAAAATTAACATATTAGTATCAGGAAAGAGAGAGAAATCTTTTTTTTTTTTTTTTTTAATAATCGGATATGCCCTATTTTTTAATAATAGGATATTATTTATTTTATTTACTATTAATTTATCAAAATAATTTGTTTTTAGTGATGCCTACGGCTGCTAGATTTCTTATGACTTTTTCATATAAAGCGGAACCTATAAAGCATCAATGATTAGTTGGAGACGGGATTAGCTTTCCTTTATTAATATGGATTCTTTTTATTATAATACTTATTTACATTTTAGCAGTGAAAGTTACAAGATAATTAACCGAAGTAGTTATAGACCCTTGATTTACTTTGAGATTTGTGCTAACGTCAGGTATCAATCAATGTCGCCATTTTTATACAATGTTGCATAGGATTATATCCATGCTTTTGCAAGCCTAACAAATGCTGTAGCCCGAAGCTTTAATATGGTGCAATAATTTGATGGTGAATATTTTTTATGGTCATTTTGGCTTTTTTTGAGGATAATATATTTCATTAATTATACAAATAATATAAAAAACAGGATTATGATAATGTTAAAAAAAAATAAAAATTTCATAAAGATAGTGATAAATCACATTCAAAGGATCAATTATTCTGTGCGGATGCGAATATCTTCCGGATACCAATCAGAATGCGACATGTCACTCTTTTGCTGGTCTTGCTGCTTGGTATTACTCGATACCATTTATGTGGCATATTATGGTTGGTCTCTAGACGATGTTCGTGTCCGCACAAAATAGTTTCTCCATTCGAAGAAGGCATTCTGATAATTTTAAAGAATAAACAATTTCATGGAGACTGAGATAAGTCTTTAAGTTTCTTGACTTAACTCTAGGAAATGTACTTTTTGTAATCAAAGTAGCTAATTTAATTTCTGCTTATCAATTTTATTAAACGTTGCAGTCATCTCAAATAAATCCTTAATCTGTCTCATATTTATCTATATCATATTTGATAAATTTCTTTAAGAAATACTTAAAAATTTTAAATTTTTAGTATATATTTATTTCTTTCGGGTAAGATATTAGAATCAACTTGCATTTAAGCATGCAAAGGTATTAACTTTATAAAAATCAAGACTTTGTTTGGGACAACTTTCTAATTATTTTTTAAACCAATTTTTCAGTATAAAATTTTTAACTACATATTTTTATATAAAAAAATTACTTTAAAAAATAATAATGATAATAAAGATGATTTTTTGACAGTAACCAGCCTAGCTTAAAATCAGCATGCAAAAAGTCTTGTTCAATACATATGCTCCAGTTTGACTTAGAAAAAAATATATTTAAATTTTAATAAATTTTGTTTGACTCGTAATAATGCATTTATGTTTCATTTGAGGCAGTTTTTTTACTGCTTTATAAAGTTACTGTAGATAAAGTAATTTTTTTAAAAATTGTTATAGAAAACATCTTTTGAATATATATTTTTTCTAAAGTAACGAAAAAATAGCAACAAAATAAAAATTATAATTGCGGTTTAAAAAAGCAACTTATCTTTGATAACAATTTTGTTTAGGCAATTAAAATTTTTTAAAATTGTCAACAATTGAATAAGTTATGAGAGTATATACATTTATTATTTGACACTTGTAATATAAATATGCCATAAAATAATGTTTTTTTAGAGTGCTCTGCCTCATATGTAAATACATTAGAAGTCTAAGCTAGGAAAACATTTTATTAAGGAAAAATATTTTACTGCTTTTGGTATATTTGAAAGTGGTGGACCCATTGCATGAATTTTATTAATAACAAGAGTTTTAGAGGTATTAATACATGATCAGACCTAGCAACTTCATTGGACAAATTTAGATTCGGGTTAACTCGTTTAATAAATATTGAGTCAGATTTTGGATTAGAAATTCTAACCTATTTAATTGATGAGTCAAGTTCGAGTTGACATGCGATTCAAATTTTGATCTGAAAGTGACTCGTTTAATTTTGTTGTTTGCTTTTTGATACATTTTTTTTTTTTTTAAATTTTTGTATAATTAAGTTTAAACACTATAGTATTATTATTAATTTTTTAATTAAATAAATTATCGAGTTCGGTTCAGTTCATCCCAATTGCCATATGGTCGTATTTGGGTGATTGAATTCATATCAAATCCTTTTCAATCCGAATTTCGAAACCAACTCCTAAACCTATTTTCGGCACCTCTATCGAATTTAGATTCTTTTAGCAAAAAAAAAAAATTAAGATATGATAAAAATGTCATAATAATGAATTTTAATATTTCAATTTTTATTGAAATATAATATTTAAAATTCCAATATATTCCGCTAAATTTTAGCTGAATTTTAAGAAATTTCAAAGCTCGTCTTAATGCATTTTGATATAGTATAGTATCTATTTTTAGTAGATCCTAATCATTAATGTTTAAAACCTAAATATCCCTTATTCATTTTAAAACTTTTGTAAATTTAATTAAATGCTATAAAAATCGAATGAAAAGATTTTTTTATTTTTAAGATTTTAAAGCAAATTTAATCTCAAACACACACAAAAATACATGAGAGTTCCAACCTATAACTTTTATGATGGGACCCAAAACTCCCAACCATTAGGTTAAGGTGGCCTTCATTAAAAAAAAAAAAATCTTATTTAAAGACTTTAGATTCAATTAATATATCCTTTCTTTCATAAATATATTTTTTTTTCTTTTCCAAGATTGTGATATTCTTCTTTTTGGAAGTAGTAGCAACTAAGGTAGACAACAACTAGGGAGAAATATCCCCTTTTACAAGAAAATCTCTCTCTCTCTCTCTCTCTCTTAACCTCCTCATTTCCATCTTCCAACTTTCAAATAATTGAAACCTCTCTCTCTCTCTCTCTCTCTAATGGAGGAGGTTTATGAAGGCAAGAAGATCCCAGCAGCAGCCATCCTTCTCTTCCTCCTATCGGCGGTCGCCGGCGCCGTGCTACTGATTTGGTGGATCTTACAGTTCCACCAATCGAATGATCAGCTGTGGATGGTGCCAGTCAGCTTCATCTTTCTCGGCTCGCCGGTCATGGCCTGCTTCTCCTTCTTCGCCTCCGGCGATAGCCGGGACACTCTCCAGCTTCTCTACAAGGTACCATCTCTGGCTTCAGGTAATAACAATAGTCCCAACTCTCAGTTTTCAAAATCTATGAATATTGTGAGAATTTCTTTTATGTTATTATTTTTATTAATATGATAATTTTTTGAGATTTTACAGATTGTAAGGAGAAGATTTTGGTGTGAAGGGGGAGAGATTATTAGGTGAGTGAAAAGCTTATTGATTTTTGTATTTTATTTTGTGTAAATATTTATATAAAATGGTATAAATGGACTGACGCTGCATATAATAATACATATTGCGATATTTACTTTCTTTTATTGTAATTATAACTAATATGTAGCTATCTTAATTTTTTTATTTTTAATTATTTTATCTATAGAGGATATTTTTAAGAGTAAATATATATATATTTTTGTGTAAAAAAATATTATAGTTTTATTTGATAAAACGTGATAGGATTAGGAGCTTTGGTACTGTACACAAACAAAGTTGAACGGAGGGGAGGAGGTTGTGCGGAGCTGATCGCACGTGCCTTGAAATCCCTTACCCTTAAAGAGTGCTTTCATCTAGAAGCCTTCATATGGGAGAAAATTGAAGTCAATGTTATTTTATTTTGAATGTCAAATAATAATAATAATCCATTATTTATCTATTAAGTATATTCAATGGCTTTAAAATTTAATTTGATCAAATTTTTATAAAAAAATTTAACTTAAAATTTCTACTACCTTGTAGGAAGAAGAAGAAAAAAAGGCAAGAAGAAATTCTTTGCTTGCAAACTGCTAGTTATTACTTATTAGGGCAAGTGTATTATTATTTATATTGTTAAATTTTAGGTGAAAATTTTGAAATTTGATTTCTTCACTAGAAATATCCTCTCAAACTGCATGTCGGAACATATGCGATAGTAGAGTAAAAAAGTTTAACATCTTAGCATTGTTGCTTATATGATCATTTTCCTTTAAAGAGGCGAGACCAGAGATTGAGACGTCCTAAGTAAATCTTGGTGTTGATGTTTGGAATCAGAGTTAATGTCAACAACTTGTATTAGTCTTATGAGTGATGACATTCATCAACATCAGTGGCAATGACAAACAATGTAGTTAGGAAGTGATGGTGTAGTTAAATGATAATGATAAAAAAATGCATAGTTGGAGGATTGTAGTCACATGAAATTAATCAAATGGCCATAATTTGGTGATGGTGGTCAAATTTAGTAAGTAATGGTGTACTTAAGTGATAAATGTCACAAAACTATTGTAAGAGAATTGTAATCAAAGAATCATAATCTGGTGGTGGTGGTTGAAGAAATATCTGCTAATTATGATCATTTAACCATTATCTCGCAATTACACTGACGCTAGTTGATTTTGTAGCTTACCCTTGCAAAAATAACAACACAATTTATCGCCTATAAAGTCAATGTACACCGTCGACACTGACTCTAGCTCTTGATATTTCACCAAAATTTATGATGGAGTTCTTAATCTCTAATCTCCTCTCTTCAAAAGAGAACATCTAAACAAACATAAAACACTTCCTTGAAAATAAATCTTAGGTCACATGGCTCTTCTACTTTCCACCAAGAAATTTGTCATGTAGAATTTATATATATTATATTATATCAAGTTTTAACTCTTTTCTCAATTATGGGAAAATCATCATTTGTAATTGATGATGAACAATGGTGGAATCATTGCAATTGAGCTAAGCCCCACAAATTTTATTATATTTTCCAAATCTCTCACATTAAAGCTTCAATATTTCTTACAGTTATTCTATTTATCTGCATGTTGCTGAAATTTTCGTATAAGACTAAGACGTAAAACTCTCTCATTTTATCACCACAAATATTCAGCATGCAAGGCTTTGATATTCTGTTTTCTTTCCCTTAGTAATGTCCAGATAAAAAAAAATCAGCACTATCATTTTCATGATGAAACTATTAGATAAATAATCATTAATCTCATTAAGGGATTTAGGCTTCGTTTGGGACAACTTTCTTGCTGTTTTTTAAAACAACTTTCTAGTATAAAAATTACTAGTTCAATAAAATTTTATACTAAAAATTTACTTTAGAAAGCAATAAGTAAGTTGTCCTAAATGAAGTCTTAAATGTAAGACTTGTTACAGAGATTTAGGCTATATTCAAAGCTCTATAACCAAAGGCATCATATTTAGGCTTAGTAAGATTCTAATATAAGATTCTAAGAAATATAATAACTTATTTATCTCTATAAAACTAATAATATTGAGCTTTGTGACATTTAGCAAAAGATATCAATTATTTCCTTGTTTGAACTTTGAAGTCATCATATTTAATGCAAGAGATAGTTTTTCCCGAGTCAAACGTTTCGGTTGAGGTTGTTGGCGTCAAGCTCTAATAATATTAATGAGAAGAATGAAATACGAATTGATTTTCTTTAAGGATAAAAAATTGTTTTAAATTTTTCTTAATTGAAGTAAAAAAAATTCTTCATTTGGGACGATATTCTTTCTGATTTGAAAAGCTATTATTAAGAAAGCAACTTTTTAAAGCTTTGTAGAAAATAGCTTTCTAGTACAAATTTTTTAATTCCCCAAATAAATTTATGTAAAAAATTCAAATTTCACGCATGGTTAATGTGGTTTTTTATATCTCTCTTTTCATATAATAAAATAAAAATTGGTGGATTACATCATTACACACATAAGTACATAACACTTAAAACATATGTTAAACATTTTTATGAATTTCTCACCGAATGAAGAAGAGACAAGAAAGCTGTGGTAAAATCTCTTGGAACGTCGTTAATGGGACTTACAACAGCATGCAAATGACTAAGAATGTGAGGAAGTCATGACGAAATCTCTTCGAGAAGGAATACATGAGATTAGCGCGCGGCATGCAAGTAGGGTGTCAAAATTGAGTTTCGGGTCGGTTTTAAGGTCCTATCCGGAAATGATCCGGGTTCAAATGAGTTGATTCGTATCCGACCCAGTTTTGTAAACGGGACGAAAATTCAGACCTGAACCCAACCTGTTGGGTTATTGGGTTCACCCGACCTGATCCGAAAATCCGAAATATCGGGCGCTAACGACAGACGCGAATTGCGAAGCATTAAGATGTGGTTGTGAGCGCATCGCCTGACTGGGTGCTGGCACTGGTTAGGGTACAGTGCGAGGCTGTTAGCGCTGGGGCTGCACGTACAACGTGAGTGCGGTTCCGGTCCGGTCGCGGCCGGGTGGTGGAGCTAGTGATTAGATATCTAATCATCTAGGGTGCAGATTACGAGCGCGGAGATGAATCTGGACCATACGGATTGCGAGTTTAGAGTGGGAGGAGGGAAATACTTTGCGCTGGGAAGGCAGATCGGGGTCACAAGGGGGTCATTCTCGGGTTTCCCGGTCAAGTCGAAACCGACATGTATGACAAACGGGTTGACACTAACCTGGAATTTTAAGATCGCGTCAAATATCGACACCTCTACATGTGAGAAAAGAAGAGACAAAAAACACCCATAAAATATCGTTGAGATGTCGTAACATTATGGCTAATGTACGACATGTAATATCTAGTTGAGATCTCACTTAATGGGATTTAAATCATTTAATAGAGTGAGAGGATGTTATTTTTTTACTTTAATTTAAAATTTTTATGTATTATATGAGTAAATAATAAAATTTAAAATTTTAATATTTAATAAATAAATGATTTTATAACTATGTATGTAAACCCTCTAATTGAATTTTAATTATAAATTTATTGTGTGAACCAGCAAGCAAGGTTAGTATCTGGGGAAGGGAAAAGCGTGGGACGGTAGTTGTAGTAATACGGCGTTGGATGCTAATCCATTCCATTAATGGATTTGGCCCAAAATTAGGTTAGGGTACGGACAAAAATTCAATCGTCATATTCTCATTAATTTTTTTAATTTATAATAATATTTGGATTTTAATATAATGCTAATTTAAAAATAAATTCAAAGATTTTAAGACTCACCCTATATCCTCATTGACTTCTTTTTTTTTTAATTAGAATGATATATCACAAAAAAAATTTCATTTGATCATCAAACATGAATTATCATATAATATTTGAATTTAAAAAAATTGGAAATAATTTCATGAACATTTGTACTTTTATTTTAACAAATTTTTAATTGAAATCAAAGTTTAAATAAGATGAACCAAACAATATTGAAAGTGTTTTGATCCAAATTTAAATGGGCCTAGCTCGAACTTAATTGAAAGATTTAATGTTGTCGAGTTTGAGCATTTTGACTCATTGTCCATCTTCTTTTGCCGTCTCCGTCCACCTCCACCTCACCAATTGGACGCCCCGCCTCCTATCATCACCTTCACTCCACAACCACCCAATACCCCACCCAACTCGTCGCTTTAGGGCATCTCCAACCGAAAAACCCATTTTCCATTTCAAAATGCAGTGATTCATCTCCAATCAAACTCCATTTATTTCTCCTTTTTCGTGCGCTTCTTCATCTTGTTGCGAAGGTAACCATCTTTTTCCTCTTTCATGAGCTTCTTCGGCAAATACAACGACACAAAAATTGGTGTAGGTGAACAGTGCGACGCCAATATTGGCGTCACATTGTTCACCTATCGAATTTATATGAACATAAATACTATGATCTTTCATGAGCTTCTTCGGCAAACTTATAAGTAACTGTCGAGTGTGCAAGGGGGCAGCGCCCCTTTGCAGGATTCGACCTGTTGGTTGTAAGGATATTTTTGGAATTCAAATTAATAAATAAAATGATTAATGTATTTACTATTTGTTGGGGGCAATTGCCTAAAGATCATAGTATTTATGTTCATATCATCATATGCTTATGTAATCAATGGGAGTTCCGCTCCTATCTGCATCATAAGTTTATAAATGCCTTTGTAGTATGTTTATGTGTATGATACTTTCGTTAAGCGCATATGATTACATAAGCATAAAAATAACTTATCAATATATTTGAATAACATACAACATTCAGAAGCCCAAATAATCATCATAATCACAGAAAGATTTTGTTCAAGTGCATACAAGATTTGCGGCCAATATTCAAGATTGATCGTAATTCTCCAAAAAATTGACTCAAATGTGCACTAGCTTTATTTTATCCCTCTCAAAATTTTCCTTTGCCTTTATTCAATCATGAAATAATGTAGAATATGCACTATTTTAATGCATTATAAACCCCCTCAAACATGAGAGATCATTAAGTGTTGAGTTTAGACCGAGATAATCATTCAATTTTATGATTGTTATCAGCAAAAATGCAGCAAAAGAGCACTGGTAAACAATAACTGCCCTTTTACTGTTCACAGTCACACAACTAAACGATTCTCTGGACCTAAACTCGGCACGTAATAATCTCTCTCCCCTCAAGCATTCATATGCTTCTCCTACTTTCATCTTTACTAGTGATTTAATAGGTTTTAACACATTATTTTGCTTATTGTAGAAGATATGACTACTGACCATGCATGAAAGTTTCGTTGCTCAAACAATAACTATCATTTGTTCGAGAATTTTATAATGTTTCCTCGTCATTCTCAAAAAGCGAAATAATATCATTGAAGAAAGCCCAAATGAGGAAGCCTTAAAATTTTATAATCTATTCATACATGCTATATATATAAGTCACAATTAATGAAAAAAATTTCCCTTTAAACTTTAAAAAAATTAAGAAAGCTTCATTTCTAAAAGAGTCCCCTCTAGATTTTTTAAAATTCATTTTTATCTAAATTTTATATTTTTAATAATTATCATAAATTATCAAATTACACTCATCAATTCAGAATTAGGCTTTGTTTGTGGCAACTTTATTACTGTTTTTTAAAATGATTTTCTAATAAAAAATTTATAGTTCAAAAAAATTTATACGGAAAACAATTTAAGAAAGCAGGAAGAAATATATCCCCAATAAAGCCTTAATTAAATACATTCTAAATTTAATTATACATATTCTTGACATTAAAATAATATATATATATATATATGTATAGTGTTTCATTTTATTATTTTGTATATATCATCTATAAAGTTGTTCTGTCCAAGTTTGCTGGGAGGTGGGACCTACTTAGATTTTTATTTTGTTATTAGTTTAGGGTTAGAAAAAATCAGATTTAATTGATAAAAAAAATCATCGTCGATTTTTTTTATTAAATTCCGTTAATATTATAAAAATAGTTTATTTGTATCACTTAGTCTGCAAATAAAAATATGCCTAAATTTAAAAAAAGAAAAAGAAAATACTTTATTAATATGACAACTTTATATTAGAAAATCAATAAGAATAAGCAAGGTTATTGTGCATATTTTCTTATAAAAAACATTAGTTAAAAAAAATCAACCAATCAGATGATGCAATATAGATTACACATCCTAATCAGTAACTAAAAGAGATTTAGATGGGTGAACTGCCACTCTGCTGGTCTAAATTATAATTTATAACTCATAAAAATTTTATTAGTCTAATTATGTCTTCATTTGAGATCACTTTTTTGTACTTTTTGAAGTAATTTTTTTGCCAAAAGTTTTTTAATTAGATTTTTTTTTTCTAAAAAATTGCTTCACAAAATAGTAAAAAAGCTGTCCCAAATGAAATTTATATTAGCAAATATTCGCTTTTATTACTTATTTTTAAAAAAATTAACAATCTTACTAAAAAATAAAAAATGATTTCAAAGTCATTTAATTTCTTAAGCAAAATAATTCTATTTTCACATATAATAAAAATCATCATTGTGAAGTTTAAGGCTTCGTTTGGAATGGCTTTCTTACTGTTTCTTAAAACAATTTTAAAGTATATATATATTTTTTATACTAAAATGTTATTTTAAGAAGCAATAAAAAAATCGTCCCAAACGAATTCTATAATTTTTATTGGAAGTTTCTATCTTTGGGAGAATTAAGAATTCTATAAAGAGTTAATCATCATATAATCAAATATTCTCATCAATAAAGTGATGAATCAGACAATATTATAAAGAACAAAACGGCATACATTAAAGAATGGGAGAGGATCATTTTAGAAAATGACTCAAAAGAGATCCATCAGAAAATAAAATATAAAATAGATGATGATGAATTACAACTATTGTGTTAATGATTGCACCATTTTTAAAGAGATTTGGGATTTTTTAAGGATTTACATACATATCATATAATTTTTATGTATTTAAATATCTAACTACCAAATTTTAATATTTACTAATATGATAATTTAATATCACGATCACATAAAAATATAAGCAAGAAAATATATTTCACTTTGAAAAAGTGAATATTAATGATATTTTTAATGTGGTTGAAATATTAGGATGTTCTATAAGTAAATACTAAATGTTATTCATAAGAATTGTGTAACATATATAGCATGCATCGTCGTACACCCACTAATAAGTTCTTAACCTTAAATTCTTTGTCTTGTATGGCTTTAGTGACCTTCTGAGCAGCATCCTTTGTTGTGAATACTATGAATGATCAATAATTACATCAAAGCTAAACAAAATTACAATTTAATAATGGATTAGAGAGAAAAACTTAGCTGCAAAAAAAAAAAGCAATGCTCAAAAGCCTATAAAAATAAACAAAGATAAAAACAGAGTAGAGATTCATCCCCCTGCAGACTCAGAATAGTTGGCATGAGACAAAATACCAAAATTACATATATTGCATCATATTTTGAGTGTAGACATTGAGAAATTATTGTGTGTGGAATTCAAATGCATTCGGATACCAATCACAGATTGGAATCCGAATGCAAATGCATTCGGATTCCGCACACAATAATTTCTCGTAGAATTGAGAGTGGCTCCCTGGTTGCCATATGGACCATCAAAGTGCCATTCATCATGGTCCATGAAAGCGTCAAGGGGCTTGTGAAATACCAAAAATTAGTCAAGAAAGCCCAAAAAAAACTAGCAAAATGAAGCTCCAAATGCGCCTAGAAAGGCCAAAAGCTAGGGTATAAGATGCATGATAGAATTAAAATACCTCCACTTAAGAGCATTGAAATGGTCATCTTTCTTAATTTTTACATAGGTAGAAGAAATACTATTAATAAAGTAACTAAACTGTTAAGCATTTTTCTTTCATGTATAATATATAAAGCAGGTAGTTACTAAATAGTAGAGCTTTTTAACCAAAGAGGCATAGTTCTCCCTTTCAAAGATGAGGTTAAGGATGAGGTTAAACAACTGCAAAATAGTAGGCCTAATTAGGAGAAATGAAGAAGCACAAGGAATGAAGTATTTAATAATATTTAATGAACATCAACAACACATCTGTAGTTTTTAAACCATCCACAACAGCATGAGCGGATCTACCTAAAGCCCAGGGTATTTTTAGGTAATTTGTCCCCCGCCATCTATTTTTTAGTCTTTATTATAAGAGTCTTTAGTTAATTTGTCCACCACCATCTATTACAGGACGAACCCCGCCAAGGGGCGTTGCCCGCCTTGGACCCCCGGCATATCTGCGAAATCTCTACACTTTTACTTATAAGTTTGCCCCCTCCTGAAAATAAAGGATGGTTCCGTCCCTGCACCATAGCAATTATGACTCGCTTTGAGGTCTAGTTCTTCTATCATGACTCGCTAGATATTTATTAAATACCTATAAAGATATATGATAATATACATATTTGCCGAATAAAAATGGTTTCAAATGGATTAAAAAAAAAACGAGCAGCTCATGGCCTAATCAACCCATCTCATGTCCTAATCAACTTAAAATTTTATCAAAGCAGTAATGAAAACAAAAATTATGCCCAATTTATGATTAATCATTTAGACTTCGTTTGGGACGACTTTATTTCTGATTTTTAGAGCAGCTTTCTAGTATAAAAATTTTAGTTTTTTACTAAAAAACTGCTTTATGAAGCAGTAATAAAGCCGTTCCAAATGAAACCTTAGTCTTCCAAATGTATTATATAACATTATAGTTGAGAAAGAACAAAATATTTTATTATGAGTTACGACATGTTCCACAATTCATCTGGTTTAACAATTTAAAGGATTTATTTCTCTGATTACTTTTTAATCTTAAAAATTGAAAAAATTAAGATTTAGCAAAATTTAATAGTTGGTATATAAAATAAATTTGAGATTCCTATCAAGATGTAATCAATTTGGATTTACAATATTTACTGAATTTTACTTGTATTATTTATTAGAAAATTACATTATATTAAATTGAATAAAATAAAAATGTACCCTACATGCTTTATGATTTATACTGCTCACCATATTGTACTATAATATCTTTCAATATAATTTGATAATTAAATAATTAATATTATTTAATAAAAAAAACATAAAATAATATTTTTATTTTTTAATTACAACAATAGAATGTAATAAAATACAGTAAAATAAGTAATTTGATATGTTTTTATTGATTTATTATTTTCCATACTTCATCAAATTTTATAAAATAAAAAAAAAGATCAAATCCGAGTAATTATCCTAAAAGAAGTTTAATAAATTGAATTAAATAATTATCCCATAGAGTCGGTCCGGTAAAAGTGTAAAACCATATTTTAGTCTTATATCCTAGAAGATTTACGAAAATACCCATCAAATATTGCCCTTTATAGTCTCTTCAGCCGCGTGAAATGTTCGTAGTTTTCCATTTTCTAGCGACTTTTCTCGTCCTAGGCATTTCTGCACAAGGCTAAAGAACCTCTTCTTGCCCTCGCCGACGATCTGCGCTTTGACCGTGAAGTGCCTCGTCATCTGGTAAAGTTTGAGGGAGAAGGGGAGAGATCAGATCACTGTAGCAGTGATGGAGATCTTTGGCTCTCTCCACGGAAGGGCGGCGCTTCTTATTCTACCGCTGGCGGTGGCTGCGTTGTTGATTTCGCCGTCGGCGGCGGAGATCCGCCAGACTGAGGTGAAAAATGATGCCCGAACGATAATACCCTTCGACGAGTTCGGATTTACACGTAGTGGCGTTCTCGATCTCAAAGTCTCCAGGATCTCCCTCTCGGATACCAATCCTGACCTCGATTTGTCTCAGCTAGGGTTTTTCCTCAGCACACGCGACACCTGGATCCACGTTTTGCAGCAGATCCAGGAGCTGGATGTCACCTGCGCTCTTCAATCAGAGCTCGTCAAGCTCGTCTACACCTTCGATTATCTCCCGGCCGCTGCTCCGGCCGGCCGCGCGACTAGCTTTGGTTCCCTTTTCAACGTAACCGTTCCGGGTCAGTACACCCTTCTTTTCGCTAATTGTCTTCCTCAGATTCACGTCTCTATGTCTGTTCGATCCGCTATGTACAACATTGAGCCTGGCTCTGGGCGCAGCGTCTACCTCTCCGCCGGTTCCGCCAACCTGCCGTTTGTCTATTTCCTTTTCTTTCTAGTTTATGGCAGCCTTGCGGCGCTATGGGTTTCTGTTTTGTTACGTAAGAGGCAGACCGCTTACCGAATCCACTACTTCATGCTGGCCGTTGTCATTCTCAAGGCGCTTAATCTTATATGCGAGGCTGAAGACAAATTGTATATTGAACGTACTGGCAGTGCCCATGGATGGGACGTTCTCTTCTACATCTTTAGTTTCTTGAAAGGAATATCCTTATTCACTCTGATTGTCCTGATTGGTACTGGTTGGTCCTTCCTTAAACCGTATCTTCAGGACAAGGAAAAGAAAGTGCTCATGATTGTAATCCCTCTCCAGGTCGTTGCAAACATAGCTCAGGTGGTGATTGATGAGTCTGGACCTTACGCCAGAGATTGGGTTACATGGAAGCAAGTCTTTCTTCTTGTCGATGTCATTTGCTGCTGTGCTGTTCTCTTCCCTATTGTCTGGTCCATTAAAAACCTTCGTGAGGCGGCTAGGACGGATGGCAAAGCTGCTGTTAACCTTATGAAGCTTACACTTTTCCGGCAATACTATATTGTAGTAATTTGCTACATCTACTTTACTCGAGTTGTGGTTTACGCCTTGGTTACTATTACCTCTTATAGATATCTTTGGACCAGTGTGGTAGCTGGGGAGCTGGCTACCCTTGCTTTCTATATCTTTACAGGATACAAGTTTAGGCCTGAGGTCCACAACCCATATTTTGTAATTGATGATGAAGAAGAGGAGGCAGCGGCAGAGGCTATCAAGCTTGAGGACGAATTTGAATTATGATTACAGGTATAAAGGGTTGTTAGAAATTGTATTTTATTGTTCGCCCATGAGAATTTACCCTGCACAACTGCCCCATCTTGGGGAGGTTTCAGCGTCACGTAGTAGTATTTGGTTTATTTTACTTGATATTTTTGTCACTCCTTTACCTATGTAAATGGGGATTCCTGTTCAAATCCTCATATGGAACTTCCATTTGTTATCATGTGTACCTGCAGTAACATTTTGCCATGGAAGTTTGGGGCTTTATTGTCTATATTGATTTCTGACTGGTTACAATCCTTGATTTTATAGTTTCTCTGAAAATTTAATATACTTCTGGTGTTTCAACACAAATCACTCTAGTTGCAGGGTAGTTCCTGTTTTTTTCAGAATTTTGGCCGGTTTATATGTTTAATTTTGTTTGCATGCTATTCACAAGCTCAGAGTTTTGGATAAATCATGGGAATGAATTGTTAAAGACTTTTCAATGAAGGTATGGATTCCTGTTCATCAAATTCTGGTATATATATATATATATATATATATATATATATATAAGGAATGCATCAGGCTTGTTGTGCAATAGAAAAGTCCCCCTCAAACTTAAGGGAAAGTTCTATAAGATGGTGGTGAGACCTGCAATGCTTTATGGTGCCGAATGTTGGCATTAAAAGTGAAGCATAATACTAAGTTAAGTGTTGCAGAGATGAGGATGCTTAGGTGGATGAGTGGCTTTACCCCTAGAGATAGGATACAAAATGAGCATATATGTGAAAAGGTTGGAGTAGCTCCAGTGGAAGATAAGATTAGAGAGAGTCACCTTAGATGGTTTGGTCATATTAAACAGAGGCCTTCCGATGACCCAATTAGGAAAGTTGAGGTATTAAATTTGACTTATGTTAAGAAAGATAGAGGTAGACCTAAAAAGGCTTGCTTAGAAAATATTAGAACTGATCTTTCTTTATTAGATTTAAATGAGAATTTGACTTTTAACAGGACACAATGGCGAAAAAGGATTCATGTAGCCGACCCCACATAGTGGGACAAAGGCTTGATGCTGTTGCTGCTGTTGTTGATTGGAATTGCAGATGTAGATTTGAATTCTGAAAAATTATGGGCATAACTTGTCTTAAGATGGTGGATGTCAAATATAATAATAAGCTCTGAAATTGGTGCTAGGGTTCTGGTTTGGCTCTCATTAGATCAATTCCAATTTTAGTCTGTATATTTCATATACCATTCAAGTTTACGAGCTTTCAGTGAATGGCCAGAAGCAGTGGGGAACTAAATTGGCCAAAATTAAATTAAGTTAAAGCTGACCTTGATTTAACTCCACTCAAGTTTATTGCGTTGGTCAGTTAACTCTTGGTGAGATAGAGGCATAGATTCAGATTGGTGACAAATTTATAATTATTTGACGTTATAAAATACATTTTGTTTTTTGCATTTAAGTTTTGGGAATTTATATGATTGTGTGGTCGACTAAAGCAATCAAATTGCACTTGGATATATTTATAAATAAGCAATACTGAAATATAGGGGCCCTTTCCGCTAAAATATTGATGATAAGATCTCACTCTAGTAATCTGCTATCAACTCTCTTTTCTAATTTTCCCAGCAAGTGAAGGAGGAATTTCAAGATTTAAATTGCGAAGAATCCCATTAGTCAATCATTACAATCATAAAGTTTGATAGCCTCAACAATTCCCGTAAACAAGGATGAATTATTTTATTCGGACACCAGATGGAAAGAATCATTCGGTTTATCTCTGTGAACAATAAAAATGTAGTGAACTGACTTTTTATTGTTCATGATGTGCTTCTATTGTTTACAGAGACAAAACCTGACAGTTTTTTCCATCTGATGTCCGCACAGAATAATGTCCTAAACAAGAGCAATTCATCTCATGTTTTCTCGGGTAAAGGGAAACCTTAAATCAAACAACTGTCCTTCACTATGGTCAAAAAATTACAACTTCCACTGTATTTTGAGTTGTCTAATATTAATTACTGACTCTCCCACTTTCCACAACTGCAACACTTTGATTGATGCTGGTGACTATAGTAGTTGATTACTATTTGATCACATAATTTTGGAAAAAAACTGACACCAGCCCTTTTAGTAGATATGAAAATGCTGCCCTCGTAAAACTGAGAATTTAAGTAGGACTTTTCAAAACATGGAAGACCGAAGTGAGAGTGCTAGAAAAAATGCGGGCTCAAAATTTTATGTAACCTTTCCTTAATCTTTTGGTTATTGTGAGCCTTGGTATTAGTTCTGTTAGGAGGGAAAAATGAAGAAGACGAGGGCTAATAGATGAGTAAGGGCATCTCTAACCGAAGATCTCATTTTCACTCCAAAATGTTGTGATTCATCTCCAATTGAACTCCATTTTGCCTCGTAACGATCGTTCTCTTCTTTCGTGCCTTTCTTCGGCAAGTTATGTAGAGACCAAAAAATGGCGAAGATGAATAGTGCGACGTCAATATTGGCGTCGCACTGTTCATCCGCGATGAAATGACGTAAGAATTGCCGCTCGGTTGGAGCTACAGAAGAACGACAAACAGTTGTTCGCCGTTCCATTGAAGATGCTCTAAGGAATGAAGTGGATGAGAAACGGAAAGTTGGAGATAATGGTTGATGAGGGCAGTGGCTAAAAAGCATGGTGGTATACTGTGTGAGAGAAATTGCTGAGGAAGGGCTAGTAAGGTTTTATTTTGGAAACTGGAGTCATGGGAGGCTGGGTTGGTTCCTCTACCTAGGGTCGTAGATTATAAATGATTTCAATAATTCTGGAGTTGCCACAGATGTGTATCTTTACTGTAAATCAAATATAAACTGGATGAACGAGGAAAGTGGAAATATGCTTTAGAGGTCATATTAATAACTCCTTCAGTTGTAAATTACTAGGATTTAAACTGCTTTTCTGGAATAAAGATGGTTCTGCCACTTGATGTTCATGAACAATTCACAGAAGGATGCCAGAAATTAATTTAGGTTATTTTTATGGTATGTTTATTGCAAATTGGATCTGTTTATGGAAATAATGATGAGGTTTGCTTCGAACTTGGGGTCAAAAGATGATCATTGTGCACACCTCTTTCCTTTCTGTACTGCTACTAGATTCTGATATGTTTGATGCAAAATTGGCATTAGTAGTCGAATAAGTTTTTCTTTATTTCAGACTTCCTTGAACTTGCCTCCATCTTTGAACACCCTACAAATTTAATGTATAAGATGGCTATGATTGCCTGGTGTCTTTCGTTTGTGTTTTGTGATATTGATAACTTAAAATATTTAACAAATGGTTTGCTGGGGAAGTAAAATCACACAACTAACACAAACAAGAAAGATGGAGTTCATAGGAGCACATTTAAGCAATAGTTATCAAAGGATTATAATCAAGCTTTAAAGGTTGGAGGAGTGTAGGTGGGTGATGATAGTAAGAGGATTGTTGTCAAGGGATGATGGTTAAAGGACTGTAGCCAGACAATAGTGGTTGGAGGATAATAGTATAGTGATAGTGGCCAGAGAATTACAACTAAAAGAATGTGGTTAGAGAGTTATATTGGCCGATGAAAACTGAAGGATCATAGAAAGGCATTGAAGGGCAAAGGAATAATTAGTTGAGGGTTGTTTAAGGATTGTAATTATGTGATGGTGGTTTAAGGATCATAGTCAAGTGGCAATAGTCAAAAGATTATTATTGAGCAACGGAGATAGAAGTTTTGTAGCTGGGCGAAGTAGGATAATGAATGATAATTTGGTGATTTTGGTTAAGGGTGTCAAACTCGATTCAAAAAATTTCATGTTTGGGTCAACCCGTTTACCATATGGGTCAGGTTTGAAAGTCTGATTCGTTTAAAAATCAGGGTGGGTTCGAGTTAACCCGAAAACTAAAAAAAAAAACCAGTTGACCTGAAAAGCTGGCTGCCCTTCTCTCCTCGTGTCGCTTGTGGAGTTGGACTCAAGACTTCGTCGTGCAAACAAAGATCCATGACTAAAGCAAAACCTTGTTGCTCAGCCTGCTGGCCCTGCTACTGCATAGTCGCATTGACGACTGATTTACTCAACCGCTGCACCCACAGGCCTAAGTAGTTGTGCTCACGGCTCGAACTTGTAGACCGCAAGATGCACTCCCTTCTCTCGCCGTCCCACACGGTCGCACTCCCATTTTTTCGCACCAGCGATAGCACTGCGTGCTCGCCTTCCTTGTATGCGGCTCGACTCTGCATTGCTAGACCCCGCAGTGCTCTTCCCCGCACGCATATCTATTTTTGGTTTGACCCAGACTCGCACACAGAGGACTCACGTTCGGACTTAGCCCACAACACCTGGGTTCGCGGGTCATGTTAGGTCAACTTGGTAATCCATTGGGTCGACTTCACGTGAAAAAACCTGATCCATTTGCAAAAATTGGTTGGGTTCGTGTCAACTCGTTTAAGCCTGAGTCAGTTCAGGTTGGATCGAACCCCTACTCGTTGACCCAAATTGAAACCCCTAATTATGGTATGAGGATTGTACCCAAGATGTAGTGGAAAGAGTATCTTATTTGAGAAATTGTGGGCAGAGAACTTAAACAAGAAATGGTGGATGGAGGACCGTGGTTGGGACACTATGGTTAGAATATTATATTTAGGCAACGACATTCAAAGGGTCGCAGTTGTATGAAGGTCGCTAAAGGACTATAGTTGAGCAAAGGTGATTGGTTAGTTGTAGTTGTGCAATGAATGTTGGAGGATCGTTGTCGAGCAAAATAGCTTGGAGGATTATTTTTGGCTGACAGCGGTTGGAGAATTATAATGAAGGTAATGATGGTCAAAGGATCGTATTCATACAACGAATGTTAGATGATCATAAATAGACAATAGTGGCTGAAGGACCATAGTCAGACAATGTTGATTTAGGACCAATATAGTGAGAGATTTGCTTCCTAATTCTATATGAAGATCACACATAAAATGATAAATGAAAGAAGCACAAGAGATACTAGAGTTTTTGCATGAAATTAAAAAAAGGTGAGGAACCTTGGGTTCTAGCACAATTAGAACAATTATATTATATAAGGATTGATTAAAAAATTTACTTCTCTAATTTGAAGAAGGTAAGATTACATGAGTAAGAGGGGATAACATAAAATATCACTGAGTTAAAAAAAGATGAAAGATGTTCAGATAGTTTTGGTTGAGTGTTGTTGGTCTAACAAATTTTGTTGGATGTTGATGATCCAATAGTAGTGATTGGGTACTGATTATTTAATAGTGGCAAATCGGCAACGACGATAGTTGTACAATGGAGGTCAGATGATGGTGGTCTGATTATTGCGGTATGATGACGGTGGTCCAATGGTAGTGTTCCAATAATGGCAGTGGATTGATGATTGTGGTCGGCCATTTAGTGCCAAAAGATAGTGATTCGATAGTAAAAGTAGTGATTTAACGATGGTGGTCAGGTTGTGGCGAATTGACAATGATGGTCTGAAGGCGATGGTTAGGCCATGGCAATCAATGATGGTGCTCAAATGATGGTGATGACTTAAATGGTGGTGGTTCAACAATTGTAGTCGGTCAACAACGGTTTGATGGCAATTATCCACCGATGGTGGTTTGGTTTATGCAGTTAACTGGTGGTAGTTTGATGGTATTGGTTGGGCGGTGGTGGTCTAATGCCAATTGTCTGGTGGTAATAAGGTGTCAGTGGTTGTTATGGTTTGATGTTATTGGTCGGGTGATGGTCTGACTGTGATGGTGCTTGCATGAAGTTTTCATATTCTTCAAGTTTTTAAACTCTTTTGAATCTAAAGCTAGGGGTCCCCTTCATGTGGAGAGTATGAGCATATTTGTTTATTTATTTATTTTTTAGAGTGTTATGCTTTATAAATATAAAGAAAATCCAAAGCACCCTACAATTTGTATTGATTCATTTGATTATAGATTTTATATATATATATATATTCATATATTCATATTTAAGTGTGTTAATAATGTCAAAATTAAGGGATATGGCTCTTCGGAATTATTTCATTGAGAAGTTTGATTTGACTATAAACATATTAGATTTGTAGGTCATTTGATCATCGAATTAATGCCATGAAACTCCTAATTGTACTTCAAGTAAATGATCTAGGCTCATTTGGACTTAGATCTGATCACTTTTGGCGATAATGGGTTTTTCTCATCAACACGTTTATTTCAATAATATATTTCTCGAGATCGGAGTTTAGATGATTTTGAATTTATATTTGAAAGTTTTTACTTAAAATATATATCGAGATTTGTGTCTAATCAAATCGAATTTTAATGATATATTATATCTACTTACGCACACTTTAAACTTAAAAATGCTTGCATAACCTTCATTATCATTATGCATGCATCAGCTTGCTCCTTCCCAATAATGAGTTTCGTTGTTTGCAAATAATCTTTTATTTTATTTTATTTTGATTGTTTTCGGGCATGAGTTCCTTTTGATCCATTACTTATAGAGGGATGCATTATTTTCTTCCTCATATTCAGTTGTACGTTACTTTGGAGTCCTCAAAATGCTAATATTTGCAGAATTTATGCAACATGATTTTGCCTTTTTGTGCCCACAGTGACTCATATCATTTCTCCTTTTTACAAAAGAGTGAACTTTTTTTTTCTTTTTGTGACATTTATGCTAACTAAGACAAATTCATAAATACATCAATTATACAAGACCCGAACTCAAGATCTCTTAATTGATAGTCAAAGCTCTCAATCAATAGACCGAGGTGAGCTACATGAGTGAACTATTTAAGTTTATAATTTAGATACATAAACTTTTATCTTTACGAGAATTCTTTGTTATATCTGTATAGATATGTATGACCTCAAATTGATATATATATCACTAATGAACATATATCATGAGAGGTTATAGCCTCATTATAATCTATATCAGAATATGATTCTATATGAGAGTGTGCTTCGCCGCCTCAATTATTTCATATTGACTTACACTAGCATAGAACTCTTAGATAATCATATCAATTGAGAGGTCATCACATTATAATTGTCGAGCGCACTAGTCAAAGCTCAAACCAAATCATTATAATTTCATTCCTAATAAATCATGTATCTCATTAAACTAATATAAGTATGCGTTTACTTCTATATTGTCAATTGAGTACTATTGTTATAAGATGCATACCATGAGAACCATGATGCAAATGGTGATTTGTAGTAGGTTTAGGATTTAGGGTGATAACCAAAAATCATTCGTTAATAATGTTAAAACAAAATGAATAAACATTTCTAGTTATTTTAGGATATATGTCCTCAATTATTCGAAGGAAAATTTGAACCTAAGGTGGCTGGTAGGGGTGTCAATTTTTGACACGACCCGAATCTGACCCTGAAAAATCCAGATTAGGGTCAACCCGGACCCGAAACGGGTCGGGTTCGGGTTGACGCAGCAACCCGAAAATGACCTGAAATTGACACGAAAATTCTTATTTGACACGGAAACCCGAGATTGACCTGATTTTGAACCGAAAATTGAAGATTGACCTTATTTTGACCCGAAAACTTGCAATTTTAGATCAACTTAAGGGTCATTCGTGTCGGGTCGGGTTCGGGTCCAGAAACCTGACCCGTTTTTAAAACGAGTCAGTTTGGGTTGACCCGAACAGTGCCGGGTCAGTTTCGGGTTCGACCTGAACCCGACCCGTTGACCCGAATTGACACCCCTAGTGGGTTGTAATTATTTGTTATGAGTTGATCAAATATTTGATTAGATAATGTGTTTATTAGTTAAGAAGATATATTGACAATTTTATATTGGAATGTGAAGTGAACATGCAATGGCTCAATGATGAATCAAGAAATTTTATCCTTGACTTCTTAGGTACCTTGAAATAAAGCATTTGTCTATGCAGCTATTTCCCTTGCTAAAAAATAGTTCAAATTACTCTATCAAAGTTGATTGCATGGCTTTGGAGGTACGAGACATGAATAGGCAATTAGTGATAAGACTCCAATGGAGAGTTACATGGTTCATCCTTTTTGTATCTATCATGTGCCCTAAATCATCACCCAAATTATTATTTGATGTGATGATATATATAATTATTTTAGATTAATATTCACCTCTTAAATTTTTTGTAATTATTTTCTTTTTGAGAAGAGCTCCAGCATTAGATTTACATTAGTAGCATGCAAAAATTATATATTCTATGATGTTACGGATATCGTCCGTAGGCGAAACAGAGTGCGTCACGTCACCTTTTTGTTATGTATCTGCTGTGTAACAGGTGATGTGGCACGCTTTGATTCACCTCCGAATGATCTGATGTCCGCATATATAGAATAATTTATGAGTAGCAAGTTCCAAAATAATAAATTTGTCTGGTATGATTATAAATTTAGGTTAGGTTATAAATATGCCGTTGAAATCTCATAATTATGTTAGGATTAAAAAATTAGTGGTTGTGACACAAATTTTCTATTATTATTTATTTTTTTAAACTAAATATCAAAATATAAAATTGATATAATTGGGATTTCATGCAAAATTTTGACGAACCAATGCTTCTAAAAGACTAAAATAGCTTGCACCGTTATACTTTCCTTGATTCCAGTGCGACACAGCTCTGCCGGGCCTCCAACCTAGCTGTGTCTCGTACTCATCGATCTCTCTCTCTCTCTCTCTCACTGTGTCTCGCAGTCATTAAAAGCTATCAGCAGAAACAGATGATGCTGCATCTTCCAATTCGGCATCTCCTTCTTGCAAGGACTGTTTTTACAAAATAATGCCTGCAGGGTAATGGCACGAAAGCCGGTGCTGTAATGGGAAGGAAGGGCGGTGGCTCGTGGCTGACTTTGGTCAAAAGAGCATTCAGATCCCCCTCCAAGAACTCCGATAAGAAGCCCGAGCTTGACGACGACAACGGCAAGGTACACCTCAGGCGACATTCTTGGGAGCCACTCTCTTTCAATTCACTCTTCCTATGCTCCCTTTTCTAACTCTCTAACCTTTTCCGCTCGCAGAAAAGGGAGAAACGAAGATGTTTCTTTCGCAAGTCCTCACGCCGCGAGCAGTTAAAGCAGCCGTCGCTGCCGCAGTTGTCGTTGCCTTCGCCGGAGCAGAGGCATCCCCCTATTGCGCCAGCCTTGACGCCGGCTTCTTTACCCAGAGAGTACTACGCCGCCATCGTCATCCAAACAGCCTTCCGTGGCTATCTTGTGGGAATTCCATTCTTTTTCCCTGTTTTGCTCCTTTTTTTGCTGGCTACTTAACGAAATTACCAAAAAATTTGTTTTTTTTTCACGGTGAAAAAGGCAAGGAGAGCGCTTCGTGCTTTGAAAGGACTGGTAAAGCTTCAAGCTTTGGTTAGAGGACATAACGTTCGAAAGCAAGCGAGCATGACTCTGCAATGCATGCAATCCCTTGTGAGAGTGCAGAACAGAGTTCTAGACCAGAGGGTACGGCTCTCCCAGTCGCATTATGCAGCCTCTTACGATACCAATATCTGGGACTCGACGCATCTTCAAGAGATTTTAGATAGAAGATCCATTGTAAGATGCTAGTCAACTCTTCAAAACTAGGGAATGCTAGCTTTAAGATTCTAATTTTATTATTATTATTAAGAAGTCGAGGGAAGGTGGTATATTTGCCGACGATTGGGACAACCGCCCCCGCACTATTGAGGAGATCCAGGCTATTTTGAAGCACAGGAAAGAAGCGGCCTTTAGAAGAGACAAGTTGAATTCCTCCGCTTTCTCGCATCAGGTATGTTTCTTCTAAGTGTAGAATTTGAACCCCAAACAATGCTTCCTTGTGCTCTAAACAAATCACCCAATTTGTTAGATTTTGAGATTGGATTGCAAAATGGATGAATTACAAGGAGATCCGGAGTCGCGAATTTGGCTCGACAGGTTCATAGCGTCAAGAACATCGTTCGATAACAGAAGCAGAAGCAGAGGAAGAGCTTCTACAGACGACCGAAATGCAATCAAAACTCTTGAGATCGACACAGCGCCGCCATGCTCCTACGCAACTCCTCGGCGGCAGACACATTACGACCATCACCACTTCTCAACTCCCTTTTACCGCTCCCCTGCCACTCCTTCTCCATCCAAGGCGCCACCTTTCCAGGAATGGAGTTGCTCCTTGGCCGCCCACTCGTCGGCCAAAGGGCGTGCGATGCCGAACTACATGGTGGCGACGGAGTCGGCGAAGGCGCGACTACGGTCGCTGAGTTCGCCGAGGCAGAGGCCGGCAACTCCGGGAAGGGAAAGGGCAGGTTCGGCCAAGAAACAGCTTTCGTTCCCGGCACCGGAGACTTACAGCGTCCGGAGCCCGAGCATCAAAAGTGCGATGGGGCGGCTTGTTTCGGAGCTGAGGTCTAACGTTTCCTCGTCTTGTGCAGAGAGCTTCGGCGGCGAGAGCTCGCCGTCATCGACCACGGATCTCCGCCGGTGGTTACGTTGATGGGTGCTTGTTTGGTGTTTTGCTGTTGTGCCGTAGTGATTTGTTAGCTTGCTCTGTGTGCGTTCGGTGTGCCGCTTTTGTTCTGGTTTGCAAGGAAGGATCTTTAGTGAAAGTGATTGGACAAACAGGGAGATAAGGTTCAGTGCTTAGTGGAGCGCATTTCTCAGTGGCTTCTTCTTGAATTCTTGTCATGCAAAAGCTTGTCGAATACCTACCCGCCTTTTATGACGCGTTGCTCGGCTTTGTGGGTCGCTTTATCAGTCAGGACGGTTATTATGCTGTGCTGATTAATTGTTCTGTCTTCTACATTATGGTGTACTTATTATAATTATTATCATAAAAATAAGACATATTATGATATTTGGTACGTAATTTTAATATTTTCTTCCTCTTAACCAAATATCATCGTGGAAAAAAAGCAGGGTTTTCGTCTGCTAGGGTTTTGCTTCCTGGTGGCTTTGCTTTCGTCTTGCTTTTTCCGGCCGGAAAACTCTTGAAAGCATTCTCGAAATTCTATCTTGATATTTCTCTATGGAATATAGAGTTATTATTAAAAAGCTCAATAATTATGAATAATCTCATGAAAATTTTAAATGACATTAAAGACATAATTAATAGGTATTCATGACAACAACTTTTGTCTTTATGTTAACTCCTAGATTCATTCTATATTTGATATACTCTTGGGGTTGGTAGTACCATAAATATCAATAATCAATCCTCTTTGACGAGGCTTCCTAAATCTTTTACATCTTGCAATGATCTATTACCACCCAAAAACATCATCATTTGAGTGTTTTTTTTTTCTATTTAATGGGATTCTTGTATTATTTTTTTATGATAGTGAATTATTTCTCTACTCCCTTCACAATGAGCATATTTCTCTAGTCCCTTCACAATAAGCGTAGGTTACAATTTCAAAACATTTTAATCTCCATATCATATTTTTCTCCTCAATTTTCTTGTTATATTATTTCATTATCTCCTAAAAGATTACCATGAGTACATTTATGTTACATCTCTAAATCCAAATTGACTAAATGCCTCGTCTTAAGTGAGAGAAATATTTCTCGAATTGCACTTTATCATTATTTTTGAAAAGCTAATAATAATTTTGAAGAGATTGACTAATGATAGATAATAAGCACATTAATAATGGTGTTCAATGAAAATATTAAGTTCAATTTGGTAGTATCCATTATGAGCACCAAAATGACTAGTCATCCAATGGTATTACATTTGTCACTTGAGAGCAATTAGAAGCATTTTTTTTTATGAGGTATATTAATAATTGACTAAGGATAATCAACTATTTTAAATTTCCTAACCTATCCTTGTTGTTCAGCCATCTAAGTCTCATTAAAAATATAAGGCTATAAGCATTAATGATACTCTTACTCCACCTACTCATTCATGGGTTAAATGTTTAATTTTTTGTTTATTCCTGGATGAGCTTAAAAATGCTAAGTTCAGGACTCTTTATATTGAGATCTGTAAGAAGACTACTGATTTTGAAGACTTTACAATAAGTTAATAAAGAATGTTTCATATCTCATTTTAAAATCTCGAATGTTATCAAGTTAGAATGTTTGCCCCCACCTTCAAGAACTTGGCACAAAGGTAGTTCAATGATTTACCTTCCTCAATATTATAGCTCCTTTGAGGAATTCTCATATTTGGTTATGATACAATTCTTTGCATCAAAGAGGTCATTAGAGACCTCTTATAGCTTTTTGACATAAAGTAGAAAGAAGGGGAGAGTATGATATACTATATGATCCTTTTTCATAAGGCCTCTCATCTAATCACTAGTAAACAAAAAACCAATAAGTAAGAATACTCATATATTGGGGCTAAACTTGAGAAATTTCAAGTTCTTTGTAGCAAAGAATCCTCTAGAGAACATGTAAGTATTGTTGAGAAAAGTTGTGAAGTATATAAGTGTTCAATAATTTTTGTTGGAATTTGATTACCCTATTAAATATTTTATCTTCATCTTTCAGGAATAGGAAGAATAATATAACAATAATATATTTTCTTAAATTGAGAAAAAAATTAAGAGAATTGACTCTCTGATCGAGGAAATAAATTTAAGTAATAAGCACTTATTAATCCTTAGAGACATAAATTATTCTTAGCTCTTATGTGGTATGTGAACATCCTTCTACTTTTTTTCAATGAGTTGTTTAAAAACTTAAAGACAAATATTTAATATAAAGTTTATTTCAAGTGGAATTTCAATGGTAAAATTAAGATGGAAGCAAGTCATCACTACAAGTCCAAATGCAACTTATAATGGTTATAAAATAAAAAAATTACAGTGGCAAAATTAAGGCCTTTGCTTAAACAATTAAGGAGAGTCATCTTAAGAAGAATACCATTGATCGTTGTACAACCTAAAAACTTATTAAAGAACTTCTCATTAGTAAAAAATATGAGATAAAAGTATTGGCATGATCCATGCCATTATTGAGGGCCAGAATTGGAGATGAGATAATATGGCTTAGAAGTTTGTAGAGATTTACCCAGTATGAAGTATTCTTTTTATTCTTTTTTTTTTCTTTAAATAACTCTTTTGATTTTTAAATTGTAGAGTTTAATTACTTTTGTACAAAGTTATATAATATTTATAAGTTTTTTTTTTTATGTGTGGTTTAAAAATTTAATATGTAGTTTTGGTTGCCCAATATTTTTATTAAAAAGGGGTTGTTATTAGAGTATTAGATAGATTGATAAAATAATGTAGAGAGTCAAAAACTATGAATTTTTCATATAAAAATATATCATTATAACAATAGTAAAATATATAGAAACATAACTCAAAGATAATCATCAATGAGGTGAATCTACAAATAATTTTTTATAGTATAGCTTTTGTGTGTTTTGTTTTATGAGACATTATGACTTATGTGTAGTATCATTGATTAGACTAAGTTGTTGCTTTTATTTTTGTTATTATTCTGCATCAATCATGAAGATGATGTGTTATTTTTATTAGACCTAAGGGTGTTCCACTCAACAATTTTTTGAGATGCAAGGCATTACTCCAAGGTCTTGCTAGGTTGCTTAGTACCGTGTATATCTTAGATTTAGGCTTTGTTTGGGATTGTTTTCTTAATGCTTCGTAAAACAGTTTTCAAGCACACATATTGTTGTTTGCTTCAAACAGTTTTCAGCACACATATGAAAAACAATTTTCAAGCTTCTTAATGATCTCAAAATTGAAGATCACAACTTAAAATAATCAAGATTTATCCTAAGTATGATTTTAAACAAAGAAAATTATTTCATATTTTTTAGGATTTTATGTGAGAAGATTATCAATTATTTAATTTAATTCATATTTTCTTATAAATGAAACTTTTGAAGTATTAAATTATTTAGTGATCATTTATTTAATACTAGCACACATATTCCTGTTTGCTATATGTAGTAGGAAATTAATTATGTGGTTCTAAATTTCCTATTAAATACATTAACTTCGCTTGAGTAAACTTTATTTGATTATTATTTTATTAATCTCCTAATTAAGAAAAAATATACATGATTATATAATATCATTAAGATTCTTTAACTAGGTTCTTTATGTTCTTGGCAAATTTAATTAATTTTAAGGGTTTCACATAATGCATTGAACTTGCTTAATATAATTAATTTAGTCTTAGTTATATAATTACTTGAATTAATCTAATTTGGCTCTATTCATTAACTTATTTACAAAAAAAAATATTTATAATATCATATCTATGTTTTTTTTTTTTCTTTTTGATTTGTAAAAGTTATTTAAAATATAAAAATTCTTGATTACCATTCCACCGTTAATACTAGCTTGCCCTAGGCATGCCAAAACAGATGGCAATGGGCTTGACCCGGCAGGACCTTGTCGGGCCGGCCAATGGAATGTTGCAATTTTGGCAGGTAAGAGCTGGTCAACTAATCACCATGTTGACTTTGACTAGTCCTTGGCTAGTTATTTTAGAAGGAATCTATGAATAAGAAAAAGCTAATGGATTAGTTCAAAAAATGGATTTTTAAGAGAAGAACCATAATAATGTTCATCAAAATCCCGATCAATCCTTTAGTAAAATCATTCCTTAGTTTCTTAGTTTTATGTCAGAGTTGTTTTGTCCCAATGCAAACAAAAATACATGAAAGCTGTACATGATTTTGCATCTATTCGAGGATTGAAAGAGCTATTCAGATAGTAGCAGACTATTCTTAGATTGAAAGAGTTATTCTCATAGGGGCAAGTTTTGGAAAGTGAGAATTTATCACGGCCTGATAGTTATGATTATTATTTTAAAATTGAAAAAAATAAAATTTTGAAGTTTCTAAACTGGAGTGCTGCATTTATGGTTGTTAAAATCAGGTTTTAGGTCGGGTTCGGGTTGAATCTGGAACTGGCCCGGGTTCAAACAGGTTGACCATAACCTGACTCAGTTATGTAAACTAGTCGGCAGTGTAGATCTAGACCTGACCAGTTAGGTTGCCGGGTTGACCCGACTCGACGCGGCTAGACAGCTACAGCGGGAACAGCGGACGGCAAGTCTCGTGTCGACAGGCGGGACGGTCGAGCAGTCGACGTAATGTGCGTACATGGAGTAGTTGACATGCACGACACTCGAGCGGCCGACGTGACGTGCAGGACGGAGGGCAGTCGACACGACGGGCGGGCTGCTTGGATGCCACGCTTGGGTAGCTTGGACGTGACGTGCGGGCAAATTGTTTCAAACTGGCTTTCGGGTCAACCCGAACCTGATCCATTTTTTCAAACGTGTCATCAAATCCAAGAACCCTAGTCCGACTCGTTTGCGAAATGAGTTGATAACCCTAAATTTTTTAGTTCAGTTCGAGTTGGTTTTCGGGTCGTGTCAAATATTGACACCCCTATTTGCAGTATTGGGTATTTTGGTGCTCGATCGTCCTAATCTCGAAAAAAATTGAAAATAATTTGGCGTGGCTGCACCATGAACTAGCATGCGGCGTTGTAGCACTGCCATGTTTGAGCGCCGTGGCGCAATACTACAAACAATTTTTTTATATATATTAAATCCTAAACCTAAGGCATGGGTGTAGGCCTAAATTGCTTTATAGTTTGATTTACTTTATTACATTATATTGATCATCATATGTTAATAGCTTAGACTTGTATGTTGGATGTTGTGAATGCTATAATTCGTCTCATACTTTTGTATGGAGAAAATAATTACTTTGTGTTTAAATCGCTCCTTAGAGTCCTTCATCTCTTCATCTGAACCCTTAAAACTTCCAACACAAAGGAATGGAGATCTAACCCTGAGCCAAATCTGATAGAGGATTTGAAAATATATCAACTGTTTTATTTCAGGTAAACCAACTTTGCTTGGTTACAAAGCTCAGCCCCCATGGAAGACTTGGTAACATACTATTTGATTGTCTGATTGCAAAAGCAATCTGAAATTTAAAAGAAAGTTATTCTAATTATTTCAATCTGTTAAGTATTTTGATATTATCTAATTCATATGGATTTTCAACCAACCAGGCCTTGCTGGCTTGAGCGAGGATTGTATTTAGAATCAGTCCTGCTGTATTCATTTAGAGTGAAGTGAAAACATAAAACTCCATTAATGTAGCTCCATTAATGTAGCTCCTTTCTAGCAACATCAATGATCTTAAAACTTTTTCTAAGTCAAAACCTAGCTGGCTACATTCTTTTTCTCTCTCTTTCCTATTTTGTTTCCTTTTGTGAGAGGAACCTGTAGTCACAGTTCATTTATATATATATATATTACAATGAAGAACTTATAGTACTTTCTATGCTTCCTAAACTACTCATTTCCTTCAACAATAGTCTCTAATTCTGGCTTCCAGCTTCTACGATTCCTTTTGCTGAATTCTTCACACCCACTGGCTGCAGATATTATTTCCGCCAAGGAAATGTTCATTGACAGCAGCTGTTGAAGCTGCAACTTGGTAAGAACTACCTTAACCCTCCTGCTTCCTCCATTGTCCTCTATTTCATCTTTTTGCATTAGTGAGGGCTTCAAGCCCTGTGAACGAGGAAGGGTAAGTGGAAGAAGGTGGTAAGTTCTTCCAGCTTTAAGCTCATAATCAGGTGACAGAAGCTGACCAGCGTTCTTCGAGAGGCCGACCCCGAAACCATGGAAGCTCAACAGAACATCTTTAACAAGAATTGAAGTACTGTACTCCATGACCTTACCATCCACCTTGATGATTCTGAGTATTTTCTGATCTGAACCACAGCTTTTCGTTTTGATTTGACTATTGAATCCTGAAGAAGCAACACAGTTGCCCATTCTGATTGGAGCTGATCAACCTTCCCAGAGATATGTAGTTCCACTAAAGATGTTCAAGAGGAAAGCATGGAAGCAAAGAGTGGAAGTTTGCAGAAATAGCAAAACTTGCTGGAATTTAACAAAATTGTGGATTATTTATATATAGTGGAGGCTTGTGAAGAGAGGAGATTCTTTTTGGTTTCTACTTTTTTTCCTTTTTTTCACCATTTGGCTTCTTTGTTCACACCTTAATGGAATGAAAATGGGGAGATGGATGAGGATGTAAATTATTAGAAGTTTACTGAGATTTGTTCTGTGAAGGATGGTGGGGAGGTAAAATGGAATGGGACAAAAGGTATGGATTTTAATTCAACGCGCATGCGATAAGGTCAATTAGTGGAAGACAATGACTTCATCGCCCCACTAACAACACAACCCCCAACTCATGTTTGCTTTGGCATTACAATTCTGAGTGTTCAGTTGGCAAATATTTGGGCTTCATTTCATATAATTTTTTTTACTATATTTTAGAGTAATTTTTTAGTATAATCTTTTTTAAAAAGCAACATAAAAATAGTGGCAAAAAACAATCCCGAACGAGATAGCTGGTTTGCATCAATAACAGAGGTCTAGTGATTTCTCAAGGATAAGGTCATTCGTTTTTTAATTTTATCGATTTGAGGTTGATTGGGTTGAATGTTGTTGGATAAAATGTTTTTTCTTAGGAAAAATAACACTACAGGAAAAACGTCATTTTCCGGCGGCAATATTCGTCGGAAAATGGCCAAAATCCGTCAGAAAATTGCATTTCCGACGGATTTCCGGCGGAAATATTTTCACCGGTTCCACGCGCGTCGTAAAAGGACTTCCGGCGCAAAATAATTCGTCGGAAACTTTTCCAGCGCTTTTCCGACGGAATTTCCGCTGGTAAAAATTTCCGTCGAAATTTTTATGCGCCGGAATGAAAAAAAAATTACAGAAATTCGTTGAAAAAAAACCGCCGGAAAATCAGTCAAAAATTATGTCAGAAATTCGTCGGAAAATCAGTCAAAAATTATGTCAGAAATTCGTTGAAAAAATCCGCCGGAAATACCGCCGGAATTTGCGACGAATTTATTTCCGCCGGAAAAATCCGCTGGTAATCGCGTGTTTTCCTGTAGTGTAAGGATATTAGTTTTAGTTATTTTATATGTTTAAATAAAATTATTAATGAAACATCATAAAAAAAATCAACTTGATAAGACATGAATCTCGATCCATATCTGAATTGAAAACTTTTAGAATTAAATTAAGGATCATCCGAACTTTTGTTTCAATTAATTTAGAGTTGAACAAAATGTCTCAATAAGACGAATACAATGACAGAAAAGGTAATTTGTGATCTGATTCAAAATATGCTTAAATCAAGCACTTAAATATCCTCATTAATTGGAGAGTTAAACGATTTTAAAATCTCATATATGGTCAAATTGACTCTATCGACAAGACAAATTCAATGAACGCGAGATCATCTAATTCTGATATCATTAAGACACTTAAATGCTGAGAATGGTCATAATTATGGAGACTAATATAGGTTGTTCGATGAAATAATATGGATTTTGATCATATTTATCAAGTAAGTTATTCTAAAAAAATTATAAATAGGCATCCACTGTCTAAATAAAAGTGGGCTTTGAATTTGTCTTGAAATTCAAGAAAGCTCGAAGGCTTGAAAAATCTCATAGCTTCACCTTAGAATCACTAATGGAGCACCGCTCGATCATCATTATCGAACAACAACCCAATCATCTCCATCAGACTACTACCTAACTGTTTTCATCAGACCGCCATCATCTAATCCTGGTATTTGGACTACCATTGTCCGACTATTGACCTTCAATCTCTGTTATTTGACTACTGCTCTTTGAGAATCATCAGCCAACTATGATCCTTCAGCCACGATCATCTAACTACGATTCCTTGATTACCATCTCCCAATTACAATCTCTTAACCATTGTTGCTTACCTACAGTTACCCAACTATAGTTTCATCAAATTTACTAACTATAATCCTCCAACCATTATTGTCTAACTATAATCCTCTGACCACCTAAGCTAATCGCTCTTCAACTTGTGAATTATAGTAAAAAGTTGCTCCGACCCTTTACGGGAGGGAATGGACTAATTTGCAGGTGCTTGTGCTTTCCCTTTTTGTCTCTTTCTCTTTTAGAAATAGAGGTGCTAACTTTCTTCTTTTTAACTTTAATTATGTTAATAGGCTTAGTAAGAGTATGTACAACAGAGTTATATAAGTCTTCTTTTTCAACTCAATGTACAAGTATAGGATGAATAATAGCTTATAATTAAGAAGTTAGGAAAGGCTTGTGAATTAAATTGCAATAATATTCTATGATATGAATAAAAATACGTTACTCAATTTCAAATAATAAATTTTATATCAAAATTTGTAGGCATTAATGAGGCCTTTGTTTTTATGTTTTTATCTCCACCCAAGTAGTTTCCTAATGACTATTCTTGAAGTTTTTATCTTCACCAAAGTAGTTATTTAATGATATATTCCTTCTATGGATCATATTAAATTCCTTGTCATGTGGATATTCTTCTTTTTTTTTTTACATTAGGGGTGATAGCCCAATTTCATTAACTTAAAAGGGATTACAAGTTTACAGCAGTAAGAGAGAGAAGTTACAAGTGTGATGCACTATTAGCGAAAAGGGAAATGCCAATTAAAAAAAAAAACAATGATCTAGACAAAACTAGCATGTGAAGAAAGAACTGGAATAATCTAGAAAAAATATAACATAATTGACTAACAGAGAAATAAAAAACTAAAAAGCTAGGCGAAAAGCAGGAGGCCAATGATCCAAAGGACTCAAAATGCAATCAAAATGGAAGCTAACCCCAAAATCTAAATTGTATATTGAACTGAACATTGCCAAAAATAATAAGACCCTTGGTTGTCACAAGAAGGACCATCCAAGGGGCCAAGCCGAATAACCTCCAGCATTCAGCATCTTTCTTCAAAAATAACCTACCAGTTGAGAATGCAGTTCCAAAGTCCATCCATACCACAAAGATTATATAATAAGCATTCCTGAAGTGAAGGCCAAGCCTCCACAATGAATTTCCCCAAATAGAGTAAATGAAACCAGCATTTAGTAAAACTGCTCGATAATACTGGCCAATGCAGCAAGCTTGATGACTAATAAACTCCATGAGAAATCTACCAAAAAAAAAAAAAAAAATCCATACAACCAAGGATATATCCAACATTATAAGTTAGTAAGATGAATGATATTAGCCCCATGCTTCTATATAGATATCCTTGAGAGAACAACATTTCTAATGTTGTAGAAAATAGTAGTATTTCTAAATGTAGAGCTAAACCTCCTATCATTCCTTTGGCAGCATAAGAAAGTTTTTTAAAGGCATTGAATGAACTTAGCCAAAACTAAAAAAGAATACTCACACTCAATGAAGGGGTGAGTAATGCTTTCATAGCTCGAGTAGCATGGAGAACAACTAGCATTGACGTGAATGCTCCTTTTAAGCAAACCATAAGCAGTTTTCAGACCTCAACATAAAGCTAACCAAGCAAATGCAGAAAACCGAAGGACATGTTGTTTGTGCCAAACATTAAAGTACCAATTACACAAATCCAAGTGAGAATAAAAGTCTAGCATGTAATTGTTATATGAATCATTCTTTCAAAAAATGCATCTAGATGAGGAGCCAATATAGGAATGTTCAAAATAGCATCATGAACATCCACATGTAAGTCATCGGGTAAAGTCCGAGTATTCCCACATAAAATGCTTGAAAGGACATGTTCCATATAGTGTATCTAAGAAACAAAAGTCTACATGCAAAAGAAAGAAGCCTTGCTTTCCAACTAGCAAGACGATTAGTAATAATATTTAAGAGAGGCTGAAAATTAGAGTTCACAACTCTTCTAAAAGGTATAGAAAGCCCAAGATAGATCAGTTTGCGACAAGATGAATAGATGTTGAGAGCTTCACATATCCTATTAGGATTAGGAATATTAAATGAGAGGATGATTGAGCTCTAAGAGTGGTTGATTTCAATACTATAAGTGTTTGCAAAGATGTCCAAAATATGATTAATGTAGGAACAGTTTTGTACATTTGAAAATCAATTTTAAGGTGGAAATTCTCAAAACTCAGCAAAATTATCGAAGAAACTTCAACAATCTCAAGTACTGTGAGCATACCTTCAATGTTGGACATAGTAAAATAACGGCCATTCTCATCATCATCATCCATCCTTAATAATAATATATATATACGCGCATAATATTTAACAAAATAGCTATAATTTTAAAAAAGAAATTATAATTATTCTTTCTTTGCTTTCAAAAAATTTTTATAACAAAAAATTATTTTAGAAAACAGTAAAAAATCAATCACAAATGAAATTTATATTTCAAAGTAAAAAAGAAGGTTAACTTTCATAATAAATTTTTTTTCTAGAAAGACAAAAAAATTAGATATTTACTATTTCATATATAAAAAATTATATGTAATGCTTAGCCTTAGGTCATTGACTTTTTCTGACCAACTTATTATCATGTATCATAATGATGCCTTTGTCTTATTATGTTTTTTCCAGTAGATTTCACTTTAAAAAAAATAGCATTAAATAGTCAACACTGTAATCCTCTAAATAAAGCATTTGAAGAAATTAACTGCACAGAAATAATTCATGGAAAAGGCCGATATTGCTTCATTAGGAAAATAGATATTGGATTCCTTCTTTATTAGTGGAAAGCTAGGCCGCTGAAAATCCATTATGTCTATCACTTTTTATGTTTAATCTCATTCAGATGTTTTTGTTTTTTAATAATGAAGATTTGACTCAACAAAATAGCAAATAGAAAGGTGAATTTACAAAATAAAATGTATGCAATTGTAAAATCAAGAAAAAAAATCTTGGACTAAAAAAGTTGGGAATAAGCTTAGATTTGAACATCCAGAAGGTGAATAATATATGTCATTCAATTAGGGGTAGCGGTGCAAATGAGTCGAGTCGAACACAAGTCAGGGCGTGTTCGACTTGAGTTCAATTGTCAAAATTTGAGCTCGACTCGACAGGGAAAAAAACCTCTTTGAGTCCATCCGTCGTGTCTGTCGCGTCCATCCG